TGTTTTCTGACAATGTAGTATTTTATTCTGTTGTATATAGTATGTTATTCTTATTATCTTATTCCATTGCTTTTCTTAATTTTTGCTACTATAACTTTGCACTGTCCACTTTCTGCTGTGACACAAGTTTCCCACGTGTGGGAATAATAAAGGTTTATCTTATCTCATCTTATACTGCCAGGCGCTCATGAATGCCGTTAGCTTCTTCAGTAAGTAGGCGTGAATCATGTTGGTGACTGGTGCTGTCCAACTGTTTATGATTCAGACTTTGTCTTGAATGTCTGGCCTCCTGTATGGGCCGTGCTGTACTTCTCAGACATTCCTTTCTTAATCACACCTTTCTGCAGCTCTAATAGTTGGCCAACTTCTCTTAGTGCTGCCTTGATATTGGCCTTCAATCTCCTTCTCCATGGAGAGGTCTGCTCCATGTCACTGTTCATCTTGTAGCCAAGGATCTCAGTGATCACTGCTGCTGTGGTGTACATTATCTGGTTGGTTTCAGTGATGGTCACCATAGAAAATTGTATTCATCAATCATAACAATCTAACACTGTATGGAGAAACTGAACTAGCCCATTAAATGAAATGAAGCACAAATCTCCTGGTGTACCAGACCTCACCTTTATCCTTGTTCGGGTTGATGTACTTGTGAAGGCGCCAATGTTGGCTGCTACTCGAGACCTGAACGATGTGGAACTCTCGCACGCCACCTTCATTCTGTGAGAAGAGTAATGTTCAATCGTTATTTGTGCAGCAGGCATGATTTAAGTATGTAACTGTGTGTGCTATGCTGAGCATCTCACCGTATTGATGTTCTCCACATCAATAAAGACAAGGGTTCCACTGCTGCCTTTTTCATCCAGACAGTGATGTGGAGGAACACTGCTGCGACAGGCTGATGCCTGTATACTCAAAGACCGACTGGCACAGATAAATACTGTGTGGCGCAGCACCCGGTGACTTTACATGCGGAGAGAGGGAAAAGAGAAAGCCTTCTTGTTTTTTTCTTGAGAACTTTCAGCACAAACATACCCATACACAAACCTGAACTATGGCTTGTGCCATTATGTGACCACACACACAGCAAACTAAAAAAAAAAAATTTCTTTGTTAAGGTCACAGTCCAGTCCGTGCGTACCCAAAACAGCCATGTTTAATCCAGATAAGGATATGCTTTATAGACTTTGTCACACAGAACGTGTAAAGAACTTTGTATACATTACATAAAAGTTATAAACTGGTGATATTAAATGATCAAAGTATTTGATCCCCTACAACCTAGGCAGAGTTCTGGCTCACAAAGATCAGCTGCGTGCCCATGTGGCAAACAGATTTCAAACAATTACAGATTAACTTGTTGCGCCCTTGTCCACTAAATCAATTCGTTCCCACTCCAAGCTCTCCACCACAATCGGCAAGACCACAGAGCTGTCAAAGGATGTCGGGGACAAGATTGTACACATCCACAAGACTGGAAGAAGCAAGAAGCTTGGTGAGAAGTTGACAAGTGCTGGTGTGATTAATAAGAAATATAAAACACCTATCGATTGTTCTCAACTGAAGCTTTATACAAGATCTTGCAATAACAGGATGAGGATTATCATGAGAAAGGTGATAGATCATCCCAAGAATACATGGGAGAGGTTTGTTGATGACTTAAAGGCAGTTGGGAGGAGATTCACCAAGAACACCATCGGTAACACACTACTCCATTATGAATTTAAATCTTACAGCACCCGTGAATTTGCCCTGCTCAAAAAATGGCACAAGTACAAGCCCATTGCAAGTTTGCCGGTGAACATCTAAATGATTAAGAGAAGGCATTATAATCAGATGAAACTAAAATCGAGCTCTTGAGCAACTTGAACTACCTTATTTGGAGGAAGAGAAATGCTGAGTATGACCCAAACGTGGATGACTTCAATACACTAAGGGGCAAGGTCATAGCACCTGCACGGCTGTGGCTCTAAGCGATCAGAATGGTACTAAAATGTGACGTCATCAGACTGCATGCCACGGATTGGCTGGTCAGTGGCGTCGTTCGATGAGTCATGAGTGTTTCGTTCACAAAATTCAAAACCGCCATTTTTTTGAAACCCGGCAACAAGGGAAAGGGCCCGAACAAACAAAATCCAAAACAAACACCAAAACAAACAAACAAAAACAACTCCGTGATCCCCTCGACTCTGATCAAAAGCCACAGACCGAGCAGCAGGTATATTGTTGCCTTGACGTCCACCTTTGCTATAGCATTTGTGTCGCATACTAATTACATCACGGGATGCTCGGACGCGTTGCTATGTCAATGACCACGCACATTAGGTGATACTTGATTGTGATGGAAAACCAGTTGATCTAAGTTGAATTGTGGCGAGCCGATCTGAGTAGGCACTAATGGAAAAAGGGCTTAAAGTTTATGAGTAGCCAAGCCACTCTTCTTCCTCCGTCCTATAGAAAATCTGTAGAGGGAGCTTAACTTCAAGTTTCTTGGTTGCTGCCTGACAACTCGAAGGATTTAGAGTTTCTGTAAAGAAGTGTGGGTCAAAAGCACCGTCTTGCTGACAAAGCACTGTTTGCAAGCAAGGGCTTCTCCAAAAAAATACTAAATCATGTTTTGCTTGGGGACCAAATACTTGACATGCAAATAAAATTATAAAGTTTATGTAACGTGTTTATTTCTAGATTGTTTTGTTGATATTTTATCTCTCTCCATTAAAACTATCATTTTACATATAGACTGTTTATTTCTTTGTAAGTTTTCTCTTTACAAATTCAGCAGGAGATCCAATAATTATTTTCCCACGGCTACATGACCCTTTTCTTCACTGGTACCCCTGCACTAAAATAATCTACTTTTTGTCAATATAATCCAAAAATACATACATAGAAGTATTTTTCAATCCTTAATTTATGTAAATTACATTTCAGGCTGATCATGTTTCTTTGAAAAATACTAATATGTCCCAAGAAATGATATGTATGCCTACAGGTCAGTTCACAAAAATGCTTAATTTTCAATTTTTACCTTATCTTGAGTCCTTTCTCTGCGCTCTCATAATAGAACAGAAAGTTGATTTCATGGACTCCCTCCTGGTCTGGTCCTCTCAGCCAGAGAGGCAGCTGAGTGGACTGCCCTGGTTGCAGGATGCTGCCATCTATTGGAATTTCTATCACACCAGATGGCTGTCTGAAATCATCAGCTGAAACCAGACTCTCAGTGGCTTCTGAGGCCCGCTGGAGAGGTGTGGCCACGGTTTTATAAGGTGAACAATTTTCAGCTGACGTCGGGCTGAGGGGTGTTGTGGCCTGGCTGCCAAAGGTGAAGAAAGCGGCGTGTGTGGACACCACTCGCAGGCCACACAAAGCAACACCGCTGACATTACAGAACTCAACATATGCTTTTCGGATTTCGCCACACAGCAGAGCAGTGGGAAACTGCAGGAAAAAAACCTGACATACAAATACAAACACACACACACACACACACACACACACACATAGAGAGTAAAAAACAGAAAGCAATACAGTAGCATCACCACACATAAGTGAAACTACACTTGAAAACATAGATATTCAAGTAGAGGTTCATTGGAAGCCTGTTTTAAAGCCCAGCTGCTACTGGGGGAAGGGAAAAAGTATTTTTTCCTTCCCAATTTCCAATTATGCTAATTTGTTACACATGTTTCAGATCATCAAATTTAAATATTAGATAAACAGCAAACAATAAAACAAAAATGCAGTTTCTGGTAGAAGATTTAATTTATAAGGACAGAAGGCTGTCCAAACCCACATGGCCCTATGTGAAAAAAATGAATGTCCCACAGCTTAAATCATTCATTAACAGTAATAAACCAGACCTGTTGAATCAATAAATCACTTCAATAGAACATGTCTAGCAAATTTAAGTAGGCTAAAACATCATCATGGAACACATCCTGTCACGATGTCAAGAAACTCAAGAACAGATGAGAAAATCATTGATATCTATCCACCTGGAAAGACTTAAAAAGACATTTCTAAGGCTCCCGCCAACCATAATGGAGTCATTATCCACAAATCAAAAAAACAAAATGAAAAGAAAAAAAAAAAAATTTTGTTTCATTTTGTTTTTTAATAGTTCATCCATCTGGACAGGAGTGTTGACTGAGAGGTACTGTGTTACAAGTTCAAACAGTAGCCAGTATGTGTCTGTTGAGCCTTATTTGGAACAAGAACTCTCGACTGTGTCTGTAGTGTAGATGTCATTTTTCGGATTTGAACTGAATTCTGTGACAGATATTCATAATATATGATACAGCCTGTCAAAAAACTAACATTGCATGTTACTGTTGAATTAGATATGTTTGTCCGTTAGATCCATGTGTATGTGTATGTGTGTTTATAGTTTCTGTTTTCTAGCAAAGCTTGCTAGCATTCTTTTAACTTCAAACTCTACCCTCCCATCTAAGTTTTCCCACATCTGACTCCATAGAACTAACATAGAAAAAAATATTTTTAACATGCAGAATCTAAAACCCAGTAAACTGATTTCATGATGACTACATCCATGAAGGTTTTCAGAATAAGTCCTACCTCCATCAGGGGCATAGGTGCTGTTATGATGGGATTCAGACGTCGATCAGGACCATGACGAACTGACATCTTATCCTCTTTGGTCAGATTAAGACGTGGGCCAAGGATGTTCAAGTCCTGTTTCCCACGAACCATCAAATCTAGAGTCTGCTGGTCTGTAAACAAGAGGAAATCCATATGGTTTCTAACTGGCAGCAAGATAAAAAAAAATGTACAACATATTGGAATTTTATTTAATTTTTTTTAAATACCATGTAATGCATAATGCAAATGGAAAAACATTCTGTCTACATCAAATGATAATAAAGCATATGAGTTGACATGAGGTCGAATTTACCTTCAGTGCTAGAAGTCATTTCGCCAGAGGAGCCTGCAGCCAGGTTGTACACTACACCCACAATGTTCAGCTGACCAGTTCTGTGTGGCAGCAGCTTGAGTCGGGCCTGAGATCAAAGTGGTCAGCACAAAATAACTGGATTTCTGTTTAGCATTAGGTATTTCATGGCTTAAAGAGAGTATATGTCATGATGCATGCTCAATCATCCAGGTAAGGAAATCCCAAAATGTTGATTCTGTTCATCTGGATGTTGTGTTTTCAGTGGTGTTTGCATTATGCATTACATTTTGTCACTCATCCAAGTGACTTCTTCAGTCTCTGCTGACTGCACGTTTCCCCAACCTTGTAAAGAGCACATATGGGCAATGACTGAAACTAGCACCACTGGTGAACAATGGGTTGCGAGGTCAGTTTCTTGATCATTAATATGCAAATTATCACAACCATTTATCAACAACCACTGATCAAAAATAAAATTTTAACCAGATTCTTACTCTGGATAGCATTAGCTTGGCCTCCAGTAACACTGTGAGGAACCTTGGAGTCATTCAATGCACATATTAAACAAATATGTAGGACTTCTTCCATTTGCACAATAAAAATGAGAAACATCCTGTCTCAGAGCGACACTGGAATAACTAGTCAATTTATTACTTCCAGGCTGGAAAACTGTAATTCATTATTATCAGGATGTCCTAAAAACTCCACGAAAAGCCTCAGTTAATCCAAAATACTGTAACAAGAGTACTGACAGGAGCGAGAAAGAGAGAGCATATTTCTCCTATATTGGCTTCCTGTTAAATCCAGAATTGAATTTAAAGTCCTGCTCCTCACATTCAAGGTCTTGAATAATCAGGCCCCATCTTATTTTAATAACCTCATAGTACCATATCACCCCACTAGGGCACTTTGCTCTGAGACTGCAGGCTTACTTGTTGTTCCTAGAGTATTTAAAAGTAGAATGGGAGGCAGAGCCTTCAATTTTAAGGCCCCTCTTCCATGGAACTGATCAGTGGTCATGGCAACTGGCATATTAATGATCAAGGAACTGAACTCACAGCCCACTGTTTGTCAGTGATGCTAGTTTCAGTCATTATAAAAATGTACTGTTTATAAGGTTGGGGAAATCTGCAGTCAGCTGAGACTGAAGACGTCACTTGGATGAGTGACGAAATGTTTCTCTCACTGAAAACGCTACGTCCAGATGAACAGAATCAACTTTTTTTGGATGAAGAGAGTACAGTACAGTACAATTAGTATCTAGCAGATATTTTAAATACTTGTAAAAGTATTTTAATACTCTCTACGGTTTTCTGAGGCCAATGTGAATACTTTTTGAGCATCAAAGGCCTATTTCACCAAAGTGCATTCAGTTTGTGCTGTCACTTTTCACATGAAAGATTATCACTATGTGTAACCTCCTTCCTCATGTGAATGCAAAAACATGTTGTGACTTTCTTTGTATTTCCCAACACTAGGTCAGAACTGTCAAAAAATGTAGCAGCATTATGAAACAGAAAAGATTCTGAAAAAAGATCCACAAATTTACATTTAGAGACCAGCTTACCATTTTGGTCTCCTCTGGACCCAACTGAAACTCCTGGATAGTCTCAGAGGTCACAATATCATCTTTCTGTATCATCTGCAAGAGGAAGCATATAATGAACAGATTAGAGAAAAAAAAATAAGATTAGACTTAAAAACAAGGTGAAAATAAATCACAGTTCCTAAGAGCATATTTGTTCATGTTGCCCACCCCTACAGCTGAGGTCTCCTCATTGGTAATGGTCTCTTCTGTCATCTCCTTTGATGAAGATGAACCGTCAACAGTAAACCTCCACAGGAGCGAGAGGCTTGACAGGGCCAGAGAAACCTTCAAAGGATTCCTGAATGTCACCTCCACTATGATTGGCTCTGTAAAGACAAAGAAGATTGCATACCGTGTGGGCACAATTTATTAGAGATGGGATGGCTCAAACTTTACATTTCAGTAATGGTAAAGGTGAGCGCTGTCATGCACTGTGAGAAGTTTCCTGGTTGAACCCAGACTGGGGCCTTTCTGTGTTGAGTTTGCATATTTGTATTGTGCCTTCATAGGTTTTCTCTGGGTACTACAGCTCAATACATACATGTGCGTTAGGTAACTGGTAATTTTAGCTTGGCCACAGCAGTGACATTGGTAAAGTGGAGAGAATAAAATACTATATGAATATATGGTTAAATGTGGCTTGTAGTATTAAGTGCTTTGAGTTGTCAGGAACCAGAAAAGCACTTATAACATTTTAAAGTTTCCGTGTTTGTGCTGAACACATCTTACCTTCAACCACAGCCAGGGGATGACGGAGGTTGTCTGTCTGACTGTTGAGGCAGCACTGAGTGGGCTGAAAATTTACTGGGACAACACCCCCATTTGCAGAAGCTACAAGCTGCTCTTCTAGATGGCACCACATAGCTGACAAATCCTGGTCAAACTCCTGGTCCAGTGACACGTGAGTGGCCGCCTGCTTTTCTCCTGAACAGATCAAATATCAGATTAAATACAAACCAAAAATGCAAAACACTTAATTTTGCTGTAAAAAGTCTGACAGTAAACCTCTGCTCGGGTATGTCAGCATCCTATGTACACTCTACATTTTCATGTTACGCTTTGCATTGAAAACAGGGTTTAGACAGGGTCCATAATGGTCATAATATATACAAATATTTGCAAACTGAACGCTAGTGTCACAAGAATTCTGGATATCTTAACTTTACATGGAGTCCTTCACAAGGTTTTCTACTTTTATTTTCTTGGTTAATAACAGATTATGATTCACACAAAACACAAAATCTAAGAAGCACTGAATTTATGTTTGTTTTTGTGCTGCAGCAGCCTGTATGCTTCCCATGTGCTTGTATGCATGCCTGACAACATTAGGGCATGAGATGACAATGAGATGACAGATAGTGTCCTGGGAGATTTGGACCAGTCATCACTGACCTAGTGGTGACCCATCACTGGCCCATCTGACGCTGCAACCTGGGAGCATCAGATGGGCCAAAGCATGATGTCCTAGAAGTGTCCTATTGTATTTTGGTCAGGTTAATCTGGAGAGCAGGTCTATCATTTCCTTCACCCTCCTGGAACTGTTTTATATCCCAGCCACATGAGACAATTCATGCACTGGGAGGGACCCAGGACCCACTGCACCCCTGACAATAGGTCCAAGAATTTCATCCCAATATGTAATGGTAGTTAGGGTGCCATTGCCTTGTCTGTAGAGGTCGTGCATCTCTCCATGGATATGCCTCCTTAGACTATTACTGATCCATCAAACTGGCCACACTCAAAGATGTAATAGGTAGCAAAATGTTCTCCATGACTTCTCACATGTGCTCAGGGTGAACCTGCTCTCATCTCATCAAAAAAAAATGAAAAAGAAAAAAAAGACCCACAGGGTGCCAGTGGTGGACCTGGTAAATCTGGTATTCAGGCTCCACAGTGCCAGGCAGGTAAACACAGGGCCCACTAGAAGACATTGGGCTGTCAGGCCACTCTCACAAACTCTTCAATTTTGACCAAGCAATCAGAAACAGACATCACACTGGTGGCCTGCTGGGGGGCAATTTGGCTCTGGTAGTGGTGATCCTGTTCCTTCTTGTACAAAGACGCAGATACTGGTCCTGCTGCCTTGTACTAGCCTGTCCCGCTCTCCTAGAGTAACTATCAACAGTGGGAAGGACAAACTCCTTGTTAACAGTAAGAAACCTCTGGCAGAATCAGGTTTAGGGGTGAAGCCATCTACCGCGACTAGTTCAGAGTGAGGGGAGGAAGACTGAAAAAAGACGCACTGTCGAAGAGAACAAAAAGCTGATAAAGCCTAATGATTAAATGCAGAGTGGTATATAAACACATTAGCGAGGGGAAAAAACATCTAAAAAGGTGAGTGAAGAAGAAGCACTCAGTGGATCATTAGCCTAGGTGAGCCAAATCAGGGTCACCTGATCCAGTCCTAACAATAGGCTTTATCAAAAAGCCGTAAGCCCAATCTTTAAAAAAAAAAAAGAAAAAAAAAAGTGAGGGTGTCTGTCTCCTGAAATCAAACTAACAGTTAGTTCCACAGAAGAGGGGCCTGGAACCAGAAGGCTCTGCCTCCCATTCTACTTTTAAATACCACAAGTAAGCCCACAGTGTGAGAGTGAAGTGCTCTAGTGGGAGGTGTGGTACCATAAGGTCAATAAGATAAGATGGGGCCTGATTATTCAAGACATTGTACATGAGGAGCAGGATTTTAAATTTGATTCTGGAATGAACAGGGAGCCAATGAAAAGTAGCCAATATGGGTGAAATATGCTCTCTCTTTCTAGTGCCTGTCAGTATTCATGCTGCAGCATTTTGGATTAACTGAAGGTTTTTCAGGAATGATGCTGATCTGTATACAAAATCAGGCTTGACACTTACAGATGCGAACCTTAAAGTTCACACAGCCCTGGGCATTTCACATTATGTGTGACAGTCTCCAAAGCAATAATGTTAGTTATTGTCTTGTGGATTAAAAGCCATACATAAGCATGTGCCTCGACTCCTGTAAAGTTTATAGAGGCAGTATATGAGTTGTGTGTGTTACAGTAACGTTGTCATTTATGCCGCATTGCACACAGGCAAATAATATCTTTCAGCTGATGGTATATCGATAGGTGTACCCTGCACCACTTCCCAAAGTGTTTTGTACACTTTGCTGCTTAGTGATAAAGGAGTAGGCTCGAGGACTTATTGTTATTATAGTTATAAATATCAATGCATTACCTTCTGCAAGGCGGCGTTCGTGTCCAAAGTAGACTCTTGTTGCTGAGCTGTGGATGCAGGGCAGGGGAAGCTGGGGAAGGCTGACTTCATTTCCTCCCAACACGCTCTATAATAACCGAAAAAAAAAAACAAAAAACAAAAAACGCAAACATAAGAGTTTTTGACAGTTGTTTTTTTTTCTAAACCAGGTCAAAATGCAGAAATGTTACTGATTACACCAGGTGCTACACACAAAATCCCCAGTTTAAATTTTTACCATCATATACAGATAAAGGAATATATATAATAGTTTTTATTAATGACATTCTTAGACTTTGTGAAGCTACATGCTCCTGGGACCAAAGCTACGTGCAAACCACATGAGAAAGAATCCAATTTAAAACTGTTGGATAAGGATAAACAGATTTGGTATGCTTGTAATTGACGTCGGAGGCAATAACACTCTGTAACCTCACTATAATTAATGTTGGGTTGGTGTGCAACTTTGACAAAACAAACTATAGTTCCTTTGTGATAAAGCTATTAAACTAGGGTGCAATCAGGTCACGATCTCATAGTAATGCTGCTTATATGCCACTACTGCTTTTAATGAACTTTTGTCTATTGTTCCCTAAATAATTTGTTTTTTCATTGGTCTATGCTCCGTGTTTCCTTTTTCTCCTCAAACCCCAACCATTCACAGCAGACGGCTTACAATATATAATATCTGTCACTGTGAATTGGTACCAAATACAATTGAATGAACTGAATGGCAAATAGTAAAATGGACTGGTTCTTATATAGTGCTTTTCTACTCAACCTAAACACAATATTTAATTTTAATATTAAATTCTATAAAATGTAGATAGAACATAATGTGCAAAGTGCTTGTACCAAGTCCACTGTGGAACGTTTTTGTAGCCTGAGTAAGTAAGTGTGTTATCGTGACACATTAACTAACTAGTGAGCAGGGTGAGAGGGCATTGTTAAGTAGTCTGACAGCCTGGAGAAAGAAAATGTTCTTGTGCTGTCAGGTTTTGGTTGTGATGGCCCGTAGCCACCTGCCACAGGGAAATGTCATAAACAGTTTATGTTGTGAAGTGTCAGCAGCAATCTTTCTTGCCCATCAACTGAATTGCTGAAATGAAATATAGTGTCTATTCACTTAAATATAGCCATTGTGCTCCTATGGACCTTGTTTTGCATTATCCACCTCCCATATAAAGCTTTAGGAAGGGAAAATAAGGCTGGACACAATATTGTGGTATCACAGCAAAAAGTGGGCATTGATAAAGTATGTATTTTGAAAATAAAACGGGACAAAAATCATAGAATTTATTTTATTTTTTTTACATTACCTTGTAAACATAGAGGTACTCTCTCAGGAAGGCGCCCTGCTGTTTAGCCGTCTGTCTGCTGTCATTGATCAGGATCTGTCTGAAAGCTGTTACAGCCTCCTCTGGTTGGCGAAGTGTGAAGGACTGACGCCCAATTGTAAAGTTGATGTGATCTTCTGCCAAGGACCACCCTCTCTCCTTATACACCTGCATGGCTTGGCAGTAACACCGTAGTGCGTGCCTCCTCTACATTATGAAACAGCAAAAAGGATGGGAGACAGAAGGACAACATGAGGATATAAATATATAGAAGACGAAAACACAAGAGGAGATGAGATGATTGCTGTTAGCATGAGGCCATTTATTATCTACTGCAGGAGTACACACTTTATCGCGATAACGGTGTATAAAAAACATTAAATATAGGGGCAGCAGCATAAGCAGATAAGCCCAGACTTGTTTCTCCACAGCCACCTCCTCCAGCTTGTTTGGGGGAACACGTTCCCAGGCCAGTTGAGAGATATATTTTCTCTCCAGCGTGTTCTGGGTCTGCCCCGGGGCCTCCTCCCAGTGGCACATGCCCAGAACACCTCATCCAGAAGGCACACAGGAGGCATCCTTATCAGATGCCAGAACTACACCACCTGGCTCCATTCAATGTTGAGGAGCAGCGGCTCTACTCTGAGCCCTTCTTGAATGGCTGAACTCCTCACTCATTTCTAAGGGAGAGGCCAGCCACAGCTCATTTTCGGCGCTTGTATCCAAGATCTTATCCTTTCGGTCACTACCCAAAGCTCGTGACCATAGGTGTAGGGACATGGATTTAGCAGGAAACCGAGAGTTTTGCTTTTATGCTCGGCTTTCTTTTTACCACAAAGGACCGGTACTGTGTCCGCATCACTGCAGCCGCAGCACCAATCCATTTGTTGATTTCCTGCTCCCCTCTCCCTGCACTCATGAACAAGACTTCAAGATACTTAAACGTCCCCACCTGGGGCAGGAAATCGTCCCAGACCTGGAGTAGTGTGGATACTTTTACATTTTGTTTTGTTTTTTTAAGCAAAAGTGAAATGATGCCTGGTTCTGATCATAAATCTATAGTGAACTGTATGCATGTGCTTGTATTTATATGTTTATGTATATATGCAACACTAAAAAAGAACTTCACACGCACATGATTGATTACAAGGATCACAAATGGACGTCTGCAGCCTGTCCGCAGCTTAGACACAAAACATTTCACTGCATGTTGTACTCTGATTGTGTATGTGACGAATAAAGCTTGTTTGTTTTTGTTGTTAAGTTCAGTCCTGCCCATAAGTCAATAAAGTCTATTAAATAAAAGTTGTAAAAGGGAACATTTTTACATCACAATACAATGCAGGTGTAAAATGGAAGGATAGATCAAAAATGGCAGAAAAGACTCACCTGTCCTGCTTTGCTGAAACGATGACCAGACAGAATCATATGGAAGGCAAATTTGCGCACCATAGGGTTTCGCATATTAATGAAGCAGTGGGCAGCCTGCTCCAGCAGCAAAGCACTCCGTAAATCAGAGTCCTGCAAGAAAAATAAAACAAAAAAGAATTAAAAACCTCTATTAAGTTTCAAGCAGAATTCTAATGCAGTCTAATTTAATACAATCGTCTTAATAACTGCATCCCAAGTTGATTTCAAAATAATAGTTTCCTTACCTCACTGGTCATTTTAATGAGAAGAGTGGCAGCTTCTGAGTATTTTCCCTGACTCTTGAGTATTTCAGCACTGAGTAGAGCACAGCGCTCAGCCAGCACCATGTTCCTGTAAAGAGGTGTGGGAAAATATACCATCAGGAGAAGAGGTGCTAACAGTTCCAGTTCAGATGCTGGTACCCCTCTGTTTGTACACCATCTCTGTACATTATGTCACATATTAAACAAAATCCTAAAAAGACCAATTGTCTGTATGATCAACTCGATCACACAGGTGTGTCGAACTCCAGGGTTTTAGATATCACCCTGGGTCAACACACCAGAATCAAATGATTAGTTCATTAACAGGCTTCTGGAGAACCCCAAGACATATTGAGGAGGTAATTTAGGCATTTAAATCAACACATCTAAAACCTGCAGGACATCGGCCCTCGAGGCCTGGAGTCCGACACCTGTGACTTACAACATCTGAAAGTTTCTGGCTATAAAGACCGCATCCAGAACACCTTGGATTTTGAGAACAAGAGATAATGACACTATGGAGGCAGAAGAAACAATGTTCTTATATTATGTTACAGCTCTCTTCACTTTCCACTGTTTCCACTTCACTGTTCCAGTCACTGAAGCAGTGGAGGTAGTTTGTAAGAGATGACAAGATGAACCCAACTGTTAAGTCTCAGGAGGATTGCAATGATTTATTCATCGGGGAAACCAAATAACCTCTGGCTAAGTGGATGGCACAACACGGAAGAGCTAACTCGTCAGGCCAGGAGTCCGCAGTCTATTCACACCTACAGGCCAGTGGACACTCTTTCAAGTGATGAGGATGTACACATCCTGGACAGGGAGGAATTATGGGGCCTAAGGGTACATCTTTCACCATCTTACAATGCTGTGATTGCAGCCATTCCCCAACTTTCTGTGAATGGTACCCAACGCCATTGATCAATGACCATTGGTCGTTGGTCATGACAACTTGCATATTAAATGATCATGAAACTGACCTTACAGCCCATTGCTCATTTAGTGGTGCTAGTTTCAGTCATTGTGCAAATGTACTGTTTATAACCTGCAGTCAGCTGAGACTGAAGAAGTCACTTGGAGTGATGAAAAATTTCTCCCACTGAAAACACCAATTAAAAAAAAAAATCTCTTCAGTAAATGCAACATCCTCTTGTTTACAAGAAAAACAAGCTTCTCAATAATGGGGTCTTAAAAAAAACACACACAAAAACAAAACAATAATATGCAGTCTCTACGGAGTATTCACAACCATTTTTTCCTCCCACATTTTGATATGTCATGGCCTCATTCCAAAACTGATTAAATCCATTTTTCACCTCAAAAAGTTTCCACTGATCTGTCACATATTTCTGCAACTTGACTGGAGAAATTTTACATTACTACATAGTAGTAGGAGCATCATATCTTTTATATGTTTTCTGACAACAGGAAGTGAGAGACTAGTCAGGGTTGAGGGAAAGACTGAACCGAAGCAATGTGCAGAGACATGCTTGATGATAAGCTGCTCCAGAACGCTGTGGACATCAGTGACCCTGAGCACACAGCCAGGTAGTTAATGAGTGGCTTTCAAGTCCACTCTGTAAATGTCCTCGAGTGGCGCAGCCAGAACCCTGAAATGAATCTTAAATTATTAAATTATGGGATATTGTGTGTGTTGTGTGTAGGGAGCATTTTATAAGTGTAAAAGTTGCTTCAACGGGTAATTCAGATTTACATTTTTGCTTGCAATCCATGTTTGCATGCCTTCAAGTACACATCTTTAAAGCCTGCCTTTATATGCCAGTGGGAGTTTCTCAAACAACAAAGGGTTGCCTTGTTTAGAGGGAAAATAGAACGTGCTAGTTGTACATTGGGTCATGATTGTAGTGTTATTGGCCACTTATTACAAACCAGTGCAACATGAGGATGAAGATTTTAGATGACTGTAATTGTGTGTTGGATTGTCCTGCATCATAAGTGGCATATTTGTGGGAATCAAGTAAATTATGCAAAATTCCCACAATCCCAAACTGAAATTTATCCACTGAAATTAAAACACCAGAAAGAAATAGATGATGTAATTAGTTAGTCATCAGTCATACTTGCAGACATCTCTGTACGTTTGTATTGCG